TGGTTTGGTTCGCCCGCGATATGCTGTCGGTCATATTGAAATCTCGAATAACGGGACTAAATACGGCACCTGATGGTTTTGCTGCGTGATTTACAAGATGTTTGATTCCGAGTTCGGGATTGCTGGTGTGTTCGATTATATCATGACGGGTAAGATGCGGAGCAATTTCACTCATACGGTCACGAATAGACGGAACATCGTCGTACGGCAGAGTGAAACCGGAAACCTCCGATAAGGCGCGGATGATCTGAACGCGTGCGAAATTTTAAACTGATGATTAGAATTCAAACCGTCGTAAAGTGAAATCCGTGCAACATTGTTAAAGAACTATCCGACCTTCCAATCTTCTCGTGCGGCAGCTGGTGGAGGAACGGCAGCCCGAGTAAGTTGTGGACGACCTTCGGTGTTTACGTATGTCGCACTTTTTTCCGTGTATGCGGCCCCTGGGAGAATGACATCGGCGTAATGCGCACCCGTATCACCATGATGTCCTTGATAGACAACGAATGCACCCTTTGGGATGTCCTGAGGTTTTATCTCGTCCGCGCCCAATAGATATATGAACTTTGGCGTAACTTCACTTGAATTTCCCGATGGAACAAAACCTATGTCATAAGCCGCAGTATGACTTGCAGCCTGAAAAGGGATGATGGTTAGAAGAGGTGTGCAAAAACGGCCGACGGAAAAGTCGAATTCCAACCAACCCTTTGCAAGACATTGAAGCCATTCCAATTATCTTGGAAGAACTTGCTCCTATATTTGCTTGTTATTTCGGCGACCGCGGAGAAAATATACGCGCTATCGGGATTTTCCAAGACTCCACTCCCCACTATGATTAATGGTTTTCGAGATTCCGCTATTTTTTTTGCGAATGGATGATTTTCGTTTATAATGGAATCGAGAGCGTCACTACTAGCGCCAATGTGATCATATTCGTAACTAGTATCACTGGGGTGACCTATCAACCCTATATCCAATCCATGATGAAGGTAACCCTTCCGAATCCTGGTGTTAAGGATAGGACCCTCGTGACGAGGATTGACACCGATTAGTAAAAGTACGTCGGCACTCTCAACTCCCGTTATCTTGCTGTTGAGGAGGTAGTTGGAACGGAAGTCGATCCCGTGAGTGGGAATCTTGGAGCCGTTGAAAACGTCGATAGCAAAATTATCGCTGCCAATGCGATTGAAAAGATCCTTTAGTGCAACCAAGCTTTCAGCATCCACAAGTTGCCCAGCGATCGCCTTGGCTTCTGATCCTTTTACATTTTGAATTTCACTGGCCACGCGTTCCAAGGCTTGCTCCCATGTTGCGGGCAGAAACTTGTCCCCGGTTCGAATCAACGGCATGGTAAGACGTTGTCTCTTGAGTCCGTCGAATGCGAATCTCGTCTTATCGGAAATCCACTCTTCGTTTATATCATCATTGATTCTAGGCAAGACGCGCATGACCTCAACTCCCCGGGAATCCACCCTGATGTTACTACCAATTGCATCAAGAACGTCAATTGACTCGGTTCTCTTGAGTTCCCAGGATCGATAAGTGAAGGCATACGGTTTAGCGGTCAAAGCACCAACGGGACATAAATCGATTACGTTTGCAGACATTTCAGAATTTATCGTTTTACTAATGTATGTACCTATCTGCATTTCGTTGCCCCTACCGGTCGTACCTAATTCGGGAACACCGGCGACTTCAT